AATGTGTCTGTGTGTGACGCGGCACGCTTGTGTTAGTTAAGTGATTTATTGTCGCAAAATTGTCATTATTAAAAATTAATGATGTCATAATTAAGTGTATGCTGCTGTGCTATGCATTTTATTGTAATTTGATTTACATGCCAAACCGCGAGAGGTCAACGGGTTCTGGCCGCTGGATGAATGGGCCTGTGGGTTGCCATAAACAGCATTTTGACATTTTAGTCATAAAATTTATGAACTCGGCAAATATGCTCGATTCAATTCAATTTACATAATTTAATTAGCAGTCGCCTGAACATAAGTGTGCAGACATGGCAACTAAAGCGAAACGCACCCCCTTCCCCTAATAGATATGCGCCTTACGAAACGCATATTGCAAAAGGATGTGCTCCTCGAAATAAATAAATAACTGCTCGTATTCCCCAACCGTCTTCCTTACATAATCCAACTTGTTTTTGCAGCAAGTGTCGCACGTGTTGCATTGATTAGAATAACCGGACCACTACTGCCACATACTGCTAGTACTTATGAGTTGTGTGGCAGCTCCAGTATATACTGGCGATTGCAGCATTTGAGTTGAAATCGGGCCACCAGGTCTTGGCTCTTGCATAACTCCTTTGATGCGCGATTCCCCACTGCCGTACTGCGATTCATAACTCCACAACAGGCTGTACTTGTATACTTGTAGAATGTGTGTTGTATAATTAATCGACAACGTATAGTACATACATACTTGTATAATGGGAATAATTACTGCTCGAATCAAATATTTGCTGCTCTCCACATTTTTCAACTGGTGCTTCAACTAATTCCCTACAGTAGCTTTGGCATAAACTTGCGGGAATGAATACAATAATGTACAACTATTTAAAATGTATGTATATATTTATTGTTTCCATATTTCACATTGGAGGAGCCTTTAGTATCAGTGCGACCTCCGTTCACGGACTTAATACATTATTGAATTGCAATTATTGGCCCAATATTGTGCACATTGTGTAAGCCATCACGCCACTAACTCCCGATAGTAATTCACTGCATGAGATTATGGAATTGAATTCACCATAAAGCAAAAAAAGGACTTTTAACGAAACCTCAATAGTACAATTGCAAAAGTGCAGTTCAGCTTTGACTTAAACTTTGAATATCTTTCCCAAAGTACACCAGAAACTAATTGACATTCATTTTGATGATGTGCCTTTAATTATATATACGACACATATTAAATGTTGTTTGCTTTTATTGTTGAACATATACAAGTAGAGGAAGGTGACGAACATAAAGCTTTCATCGAACGTACGAGCTTACAAATTGGAGAAAAGTCAATAAATTTTCCAAATATAATTACTGCTCTCGCATTTAAAATTTGCCAAAAATCATATCTAATCGTCTCTCTGTCGGCAGCACTTAACAGACAATTTCGTTGGCTTCATCATTCAATATTTCTGCCGACACACACACACACACAGGCGCGCGCGCGCCCAGCAGTATCCTGCCGTAATGATATAATGAAATGTCATCAGCATAAATAGTAAACAATGGCGATATCAACATTTTGTGCTGTAATAAATGTGCATGAATTTGTCATTTTGTCAAGTTGGGCGTTTGCGTTGATCGATGATGCCTTTTATCTCTTCCCCACTCCCCCCATTAGCCATATGTCTGGCCGAGAGCAGCTCTCGATATCGCGGATAACGGCGCAAAAATGACCAATAATAAAATGTCAAATGGATGGAAATGACAAAATGCAGCTGGCTGGCAAAATAATGTTTAAAAAGCGCGAGTGGCACAAAATTGTAGAAGCAATGCCTAAAAATGCAAACGCGGCGATTCCAGAATGAAACAATACACACACCCATACATACATACAAGTATACACACGACTGTATAGGGAAACACACACATGCAGACGCAGTGAAATGCAAACAAATAACATATAAATTAAAGGCATGCAGAGGATGTAGCCAAAGCCACAGCCACAGCCGCAAAAGGTTAATATGCCAGCCATTTCACGGGCCAGAACCAACTGGCCGATCAACTGGCCAGCTGCTGTATGGCGCCCAATGTCGGGAATAACAGCCAGAGCCAGAATGTGGACTTGGGTTCGCAGTGACCCTGCCAATATGTCAGGTTAGCCAGTCAGTCGTCCAGTCGTCCAGTCATCCAGTCATCCAGTCATTCAGTCGTTCTGCTAGCCAGCAGCTCGTGCGAATTTCACCGCAAATCAGTTTGGCCGACGCGTCGGCTCGTTCGAATGCAAAATGCAAACTGCAGACTACAGACTACAGACTGCAGACTGCAGAATGCTGAATCCTGAATTCAGAATGCACCGCAGCCAGCCGGGCAGGAGCGACTCGACCATTTGATTGATTGAAAGTCAGCCAAAGTTGAATTGAGTTTGTGCGGCACCCAATACGAAAATAAAGACGCCATATAGTCCAGCACTCCCAGCTATAGAGCACGCTCTTTCTTTGCATAATACCTGTAAAAATATTTAAATGCAAAAAAAAAACCCCTATAGCAGCAATAATGTAATTTAAAGCTTATTCGAAAATTCATTACACATTTTGCTCAGAGCCTTGGGCCAATAGTTCTTATACAATATGATGCCTATCTTAAGTTCCATACAAAGATTGCCCAATTCAAACTGAAAAGTTAAATTACTTCAATTCTTGGTGTATTTAAAAATATTATTTAACATTCTAACTCTTCAAAATTATATTTCAAGGATAAACAAATACCTTTTGTGCCTAGGACCTGTTTGTCGAAATGATGTTTAATAAAAATAGCATATGATTAAGAGTTAGATAAATTCCAATTTATCTCCATTACTGGATCGTATTATTCCCAACTCGGTGATGGATATAAGCACAATAAGCACAGAGCCAGTGCATGATTAATTTGTTGCTTTTAACTGACCGTTGTATGCACCCTTTGGGTGCAGGGAGCTTTAAGGCCACTGCACTTTAATGCCAATAAGCACTGCAAACATACACATACATACTTGTATATCCGCCTTTATGCATATGCATCACATACTCGTACCCATCACACACACACACACACACACACATAAACACACAGTCAAATTCATTTGAAATATATATTAATTTAAATCATAATTTTCATTGCAAATCCCTTGTGTGTCGCATGCAGCAAAAAGCTGCCATTGGAAAAACATAAAAAACAACAACATCAACAACAACAACAGCAGCGACAGCGACATCGTTGGGCCGCACAAATAATGCAAATGTTTATACAAATTATGATGAGATTTTGTTTTTGGCCCCCGTCCCCAAAAGTTCACAGCGTTTTCCACCAAGCTTCCACGGCGCGCGGGTGCACGAGGCGTATGCGTAATAATTTCCCTTTAGCCATAAAAGTTTATTTTTTAGTTGCACTGTTTAAACGTGATTTTAAATAACCGCAACAGATTTTGTGGTTTTATGTTGCATTTTATGTTCGATAAGCGACCAGCGGATGAAGCTCTGGCAGTGCCGGCACGAATGGACCAGACGAGGGCAGCTGGACGAAGAGGACGGACACATAGATAGTTGGTTCGGTCCGGTACTTTCATGACTGCTGCTCTGATAAACAGTGGCAACTGCCATTACATGACTGTACATGGTGGCAACGATGTTGGCCCAGTTAGGTGGGTCGGCGAGAGAGGCGGCCCTGATAGAACTGCCGATTCCCTCTATACTAAAGGGTATATAGTGCAGTTCTGCGGTCGAAAGCATTTTAAATGCAAAACGAACACGTTTGTGGCGTCCGCATTTGTAATATTTCACGTAAAAGAAAGGTTACCTGCCTAGTTAGGAGCTTAAATAGTACTAGGAGTACTTTAAATTTAATTATATTGGGCTTAGAAGGAAATAAGGAGAGTGCTCACAGCATATAAATTTTAAAGCAGACAGCTGAAAGAATGTAATAAGCTTCTATGGCAAAACAGACAAAAGAGAGAGAACTATAGAGTGTCGACAGATTTCACATCGCTCGATCAGTTTGTGGAATAACATTTTTGTATGCATTTATTTGTCTCGTTTAACAAAATGAAGCCAAAGACTTTTGAAAGTATACTCGATAGGCAACAAAGAAAGATGCTAGTGTATGCTAAGCTTTTTCTTCTTACCTGCTTATAAGTAAAAGAAAAAACATAAGTATATGTATAGTAAGTACATACAGCAATTAAATTATCCGCGAGCTTAATTTAAGCAGCGACAGTTGTTGTTGTTCAGTTGCGCGAACTCAATGCAATGCCGTCTAATCCATTCCATTTTAGATATCCTCATATTATAGCTATAGCTAATCTTTCACTATTACAATATTATTGCATTCGAGATATACGTATTATGCTAAGTATTTTTCACACTATTTTACATAGAACTTTCACTAGACTCTGTCGTATTCGCTATACATAGTACAATATTCTCGTAAATAGGGGGCATATAAGTACATACATGTTAGGTTTACATACATATATAGCACGGGTGGGTTTGCATTATACACTTTTTCTCTTTAACACTCGCTAGTCGACATACACACACATATAATATACATATACTGGTATGTGTGTATATGCTCTTGATATCTAAACTTGTTCTCTACATGTTATTCATTAACTATTAGTTTGATCTTTTTGTTGCTGTTTATAAGTATGTAGCTATGAGTACATGTGTATATTCATTATAAATTTTAGTACACTCATTCACTAGAACTCTGCCCGTATATATATATGAATATGTACTTACAGACATTGCGCATACGCAGCGTTCGCCACCTGCATTTATGACTACAAAAAAAAAAAACAATCTGCTTTTCGTTTCAAAAAAATGCACATTATACCCTAGATATTAATATTATTAGTTGCTATTATCGTATTTTTAATATGTATATCTGTTAATTGCCATTACACGAGGCGTTCAGCCCCGCTCGTCTTCGCTCCAACGCTGCCGTTGCTCTTCCCTCGCTTCTCCTGCCCTCTATATCTGTATATGTATGTTTAGTGGAAGCTCCAGTTGCGCGCCTTCGCCCATTATATTAGGCATATGCGTAACTCCTCATCGCATCAGCTTATCAGCGCATATAGCCCCTAATTTTGTTTCCAACTTGTGGCTGCAGAAATGCAAGATGAGAAAAGGAGAGGGAGAGAGAGATGCAAATGGAGGCGATTGGTGATTATGTCAGAGGAGCTCACCTTTATAGTAGACTTCGCGATACATGGTGGGGCAGGCGGCCTTTCCATTCGTCTTCGTCGTCTTAAAGTCAATGTTCGTGCGTATTGGTCGATGCAGCAGCGGCTGAGGCGGTCGGTAATTGTTGCCCAGCGGTGCCTTTGGATGATCTGGACTGCCCTGCATAAGACGACGCAATGCGTGCAACTGCAATCAAACATAGAATATCATATCATATTAATATTAGTAGTTAGTTAGGGCTTTATAGAACCTTCTCTGTCTTCTATAATCGATGGCTATTTGTTTTCTACAGTATTTAGTCAGCTCCATTTATAGGATCAGTATACGCCCTTGTTTTGTTCATTCGTAGCTCATACGTTCATCACTATAGTGCTTGCTTTCGAATGTCGACAGTTTAGTATAGAGAAACAAGTAAATAAATACAAGTACATGAATTGATCGTAAATCGTAAATAGTGTTAGTCTATCCTGACGGGAATCATTTAGCCACGTTTAACTATATGAAAACGTTGTTTCACGGCACCACTTTAACGTTTTATTCAATTGTTGTTTTCAATTGTTACTAACCCACTACAGGTTGAACTTTGTGCAATGCTGATGCTGTTTAATATGAATGTCTATTCTATTTCTAATAATTTTCATTTATATATTACTTTCGTTTCAATTTTCTTAGGCATCATCAAAGGGACTCGGCAGAAGCATGGACGGAACAAATGAACGCTGAAGCGCTTTTAAAATGTTTATATATACTTATTTTTTGCCCTAAGCATGTGTATGTATGTACGTATGTGACCAAGAGAGGCATCTAGTGTGCTTTGCTGGTGTTCCCAATGGCCAATATCAGCAATCTGTTGAGTTATTTGCACAACTTGACCAATATCTCATGCAGTTAACAACAGCTGATAGCAGAAAGCAACAACAGCAACAGCAACAGTAACAGCCCTAACTTTGCGTTAAGTTGTTGGCTAAAACGAGTAATAAAAAAAGAAGAAAAGTTTTGCAATCTAGATGTAGATAAGCTGCCATAACGGCACCGACGAGGCTTCAGTAGTCGTTGAACGCTTAACGCGCTTAATTACAAACTTTTACACACACACACACACACGCACACCTACCCACATGCATGCCAAAACAGGAACAACAACAACAACAACAACTTCTACACCGTTCAGACACTTAAAAAATCACGCTTGGCAAAATTGTTAATCCTAAAAATACATTGAGGGAAAATCTAATAAAAATAAACTAACTACATGGCAAGGCAAACACACTAGCGCACAAGCACAAAACCGATATACCCTGTAAACCGGAACAACATGTGGCAAGCAGGCAACGATGACGATGAGCAGGGCTCAGACAACAACACCAACAACAACAACAACGACGACAATGACAACAACAGCAACAGCAACAACGACAACGACAACGACGATGAGTCAATAACACTTAATCTACTCAATCTGTTTATCAATTGACTTCCGTCAAAAGCGCTTTTCATGACATGGCGTGAAATATACACAGCACACAGTACGCCGCACCCAACCCCAACCCCAACCGCACTCCCAGTTCGATTCCCAATCCCAATCCCAATCCCTGCCCCAACCCCGCCTCTTTCCACTCAACAGCTCACTATCTCGCTCATTCACACAGAAGAGGTGACACAGAGCTGAGCGCTGAGCGTGCGGGTTCTTGCACACTGAAGTGGAAATTAAGTTGGTGGGGCAACAAAAAGTTGAGGCAGGCACATCAATAGAAGGAGGGGAAGAAGAAGGCGAAGGCGAAGGCGCAGATAGTGATAGCGGCCAGAGGGGAGTCACACGGCAATGTCTAAACAATGGCAGACTCAAAAGTAGGCAATTCCAACTGCTCAGCAATCTCGTCTGTCCCCCTCCTCGACAGACTCTCTCCCACACACATACATACAAGTATATACGCACACGCACTTTGAGAGTAAAACGCAATAAGCTGAGCCATTGCTGAGTCTCGGCAATCACAAAACCAACAACTACTCAAGCACACACGTGCATAAAGGATGAGACTTGCACACCTGTATGCACACACACACACACACACGCGTTCGCAGCATGCCTGACTTTACGCTTTCATTAAATAACATTGCTTGATAGTCGAGCCGTTTATGCGAAGCGATTTGCAATTATTGCATAGTCTGCAATATAATTAAATATCTATCTATATACTTGTACGTTACAAGCACATAGTTATACAAAGATAACTCCTATAGCTCGCTGCGGTTGTCAATTTTAAAATTATTCTATTTTCAAGAAAGATTCGAAAATAATAAGCAATTAAATAAATAATGATAATTGTAATAATCAGCTGCAATCAAACACAATCGCATTATGGCAGACCCCATGTAATGGGTACATATTGTGCATCATACGAGTATTTTTAGACATGACTTGTCTTATCCAAGCAAGTTTATTAAAGGTCAGATGTAGCCGTATTGCAAATGCAATAAGAATCACTCATCAAGTGAAGTGCGAATCTTGTGCTGTTTAAGTAAAAGTGCTTTTGTGAAATGATCATTTGGTAGAACTTCCCCTCTTCTTAAGATTAACTTGAAATCTGCAAACATCTCCACCATTGGACTCTGCCGCACACATGTGCTATATTTTAAAATACATTTTACACAGAAAACGCTAATTTATTTACATTGTTGGGCAAATACGAGGCGGGAATGTTTGCTTATAATTTACAATTCTCGACATCCTTATTCATAAATGAAAGTCCCGCATAAACGATGCACCGGTCTGTCTCACTTGTTCTCCCTTCCATTCGCTCTATGTTTTCTGCTTGTCTCCGGCCACCGCTTTGCCATTTTAATTGCAATTTCTTCATGTCGCGCTGCTTCGCTCACAACTATCATGACCGCCCTCTTCATTACCGCCCCCCCACCCCTTCTCTCTCTCTCTCTCTCTATCTATGCACCGCTCCCTGACACTCTTTCCACAGCGCTGTTGGCCTTACTTTAATTTGGTAAATTATGTTTTGCAAGGTGCAGTCGCCATCTCCGTGTCGTGCCGCGCAATGCCATGCAACACTAAATTACGATGCCGTCGCGCTGTCTGCTTGTCTGCCTGGCTCCCCGTGCCACCCTCCCCACCCCCCTCTCCCCGCCAACCACCATAGTCGTCTGCCTGGGACGCTGCCACAAGTTGTAATCATGTGCCCATGGGTGCCATTGAGCTTGTTGAAGTTTTTATGAGTCTGCTGCCTGCCTGGCTGCCTGCCTGCCTGCATGTGCATGTGTGCGTTCCTCTGCCTGCCCCCAACGCCCTCCTCCTCCTCCGCCATGCTGCGTGTTTACATTGTTTACACGTACGCCGGCATCTGGAGCAGTAGAGGCAGTAGCAGGGCAGGGGCAGGTACAGGGAGAGGGACAGGGACGACAGCAACAGTCTCGGCTACATTTTAACGCCAGCAACCACTAGGCTGGCCCGTTCGCCTCCTACTCTCTCCCTCCCCCCCTCACACACTCTCTCTCTCTCTCTTTCTGTTCCATCTCCAGCAGTTGGCGTCTTTATTACAGCGCTGCACTTAATAAACATTTGCGTTAAGTTTTTTTCGTCGCTTGCAATCCTTTTTTTCCCTACAAGTACGAGTGCGAGTGTGCGAGTGTGCGTGTGTGTTTGTTTGTTTTTTCTGCTGTTTCTTTGCTCTCACACCAAACCAAACGAAACCAAACGAAACGAAACGAAACGTGCAACTTACGTTGAATTATGGTAACTGCTACTTTGTTGTTGTTGCTGCCACTGCCGCTGCCACTAACGCTACAACTTCATTTAAAACTTAAATGAAATTAGCTAATATACCGACGCACACTCGTCGCAAGCTTCATTAATTATCATTACATGGTGGAGCGGATGCGTGGGCGATGGCGGTGGGGGCGCTGGTGGGGAGGGGGGGGGGGCATAGGGTGTTGGCCATACATCAAACAAGTGTCGCCGGCCACAACAACATGCATGTACAGACATACATACAAGTATATGCGCCACCGACCGGGCTAATCAGTCAAAAAGCTGCCACTGTGCCCAACAAATCAGTGTCCAGCAATTAGGCACTACAAACAGACACAGAGACAGACACGGTGGTGACAAAAACTGCAAGTAATTGGGGGAGAGGTGGCCGTACATTGAGTGTGTTTGTGTGTGTGTGTGTGTTTCCGTCTATTACTTGGGGGTCATTAAACAATGGAGTGTTCTATTAAGTGTTTAATAAATTACCGAACCTCACACAGCGCCTTTGTTCTGTATGCTGCAATGAACCAAAAATTATTGAATTTTAAATCAATGGAAGCCTGTACCAAAACTAATCAACAATTCATATTTTATTTGCAACTCCAATCAAATACTACTTCTTATATTTTTTTCCAATCTGATCCCCTTTCTCACTCAGCTTGAGGTATTTAATTGCAGGAAAACTCAAGCCGACCCAGTATTCCCTTTGTACACCTCTTGTTGTCTAGTGTGCATTGGAAAACCTCAACAGCTCAGACTGAAAAAAAAACAAGCGTTGTCTACCACCTAACCCTAGTGTTAGAATAGCCGTGCTCGGTCTTTTAAAACTGACAATCAACGAGCACTACATTCGGAAATAAATGGCTGTGAGTTTCAGAGCCTTGGCTACGCAAACTACCAATACCAATAGCATACTGTTGTCCTACAATGGGGACAGCATGGGGCAGCTGCCAAACCCTTAATTCAAATGAAAGTGGCTTTTGAAATTATCCAGCAAGCCATGTAAGTTAATGTGTTATCCCCAGACTAATCAATCAACGCGTCAGCACTGAGTCCAATTAATCACTGTCCAGCCATCTGACAAGGCAGACATAAAGTGTCTGTAGATTGAATTATTTATGGTTGTTTTTATTAGTGCTTATAAAGCTACGATCTAAATACTTCTAATGAACGAATAGCTGTTTTAAAAAGTAAATGGACAATTTTCTTTCCTACAACGCCAGCTACTTACCTAGCCTAATTCAACTTTTCACAACCTCGTTAATTGGCTTACCAACTCCAGCTTTTTAAAGTGTCATTTGTCCCATCCGAGCTAAGGAAGTAGGCTTAAGAAAGACTTGATGCTTAGATTCCAAGCTACACTAAAGGAAATGTGATTTCACGACCGTATTGGAATAAGCTTACTAGTAGTAGACAATTATTATTATTTGTTTCTGATTCTAAAAATGCTTAATTGTGTATTATTAAATGTGTACTTCAGCTAGTTATTATTTAACTGTACACTTGATTTTTCAACAGATGTTTTCATATCCAATCTAGCTTCAGATGGAAAATTGAACGAATTCAAAGTCTGTTGTTTTGTTTAACTTCTCCTCTTTAAGATTTTCTTGTGAGTCCACTTTCATAAAATCAAATTCAGAATACAAACTAGGACTGATATTAATTTTTGAACCTCTCGTATGACACTCACCTGTTGCTTGGTTATGTAAATGGGTTTGTTCAGCACCACCCAGGTGACTGTCTCGTGGCAGGCCGGCGCCGTAGTGGACCCGTCGTAGGTCATGTAGTGATCGGTGTCGGGCAGCAGGCCGCGTATGGAGAGCCGCTTTACGAAGGCCTCGTCGCCGCCGTAGCGTATGCGCTCCAGCTGATCGGTGAGCATCCGCAGCTCCGGATTGGACAGATCGCCCAGCTGGCGAAAATAAAATGTAGAAGAACAAACACAAATATAATTCGTATTTACGAGTATTTACTAGCGAGGCAAGCTTTACACACCTGCAGCAAAATGGAGACACCGACAATGCCCTGGGCACGATTCAGGGCATCCGAGAAATTTGCATATAGCTGGGAATTGTAGCCAAATATTTGTATCTGCAAATAAGAGTTGAGCGGGTTAGTAGAAAACGGAGCTGGGGCAGTGCGGACGCTTTTGAGTGTAATGTATGCATAGCTAATGGACGCTGGCCACATGGCATGTGCTCCGAGACTTCAGGTCCAGACGCACGGCGCTTTCTGCTGCGTTCCTGCCTCAGCGACAGCCACAGCCGCAGCCACAGCCTCTGCAATTGCCTTGAGGCTTATGAGCTGAGCCCAAAAAGTGTTGCCGGCCTTGTGGCGCTTTTGCGGCCGTATTTGCTTTGTGGCCAACTTTATTGTTGCTCAATTTAAGCCGAAATGCATACAAAGTGGCGACAATGTGTTCGCTTGTTTACACACAACCATGCACCGCATAAAGAAGGGAGGGGGACACACAGCCATCGACTTGTGTGTGTGTGTGTATGTGTATGTGTGTGTGTCTGGCATATAAAAGCTCGTCTTGTTGCGCATAAATTGCCACAAAATAATCCCAACTATCAACAAAATGCAGACAAATACACGTAAGCAAACAGCGTACATGCATACAAACGAACGTGCACTGAGAAAAAACTCGCATCTCTTCGTAAATTCTAAGCCTAAATGCATATGAGCGTGAAAAATAGCTCCAAGGGAAATAGTTTGGATTGAATGGTTCGTACAGAAATACTTAGAGTAGTTAAAGTTTTGCGACCATCTAATCCCTGCTCAGGGACATCAGCGATTCGACTCTACGATTAGCGAATTATTTTGTAAATCTATATAAATAAATCACATATAATTCCAAAATCGATCAGTCCATGTGCCTGTTTTTGCTGCGGCTGATCGAGCTACATCTACACATGAAATGTAATATATTTGTTAGCAACTGCTGTTCTTGACTACAAGTATTAGGGTTATGCTTAAATCTGGCTGATGGATACAAGGATACAGAGCTCCGTTCAATTTAAAATGACCTTGAATTCGCTAAAATACAGCAACTCGCGGGGTTTGCCAAATCAATAACGAAAGACATATATCTAGTTCTAAGGAACTTTTGTATGCGACTCTATTTCCATTAATTTCGTATCCTTCGTGGGTCAGAGAGCTCAGAAAAATAAAAATTCTATAGTGCTCATCAATGTTATTGCCTTGTGTTCCTGCGAGAAATCAAGCTGGAAATAAGATATGCTCGCATAACCGTGGAATGCGAGCTACTGGGCTAAGTCGATTCTTACATTTGTCCAAATTCCTTATCCTTTTTTTTTGAGTGCAGATACACACATAGACAGTACTCTGCAAGCGAGATAAAGCGGCACAACAACAAATATTTTGCTTTTAGCCAACGATGAGGAGAAGGCTCGCCTGGACGTCTGCTTTGCCAGAACACACATATAGACATACAGACATACAGACACACATACTCGTACATACATACTGTCGAATAAATATGCATTTGCACTTTTGTTTTACGTCTGCGAAGGCATACGAGCAACGCCTACGAAGAGAAACCACGCGCTTACCCCTCGACCCACATCCTAGCTCATTCCACAAAAGGACTCCATTCAGGATCTGGTCATGCATGTGCTTGCCTACCCGGAAGAACTCCAAACTAGTACAGGCTTTTCTTCTTTTTATTTTTTTTTTTTTTTGAAGCCGATAGCAAAGTAGTTCCCTTGCGTTTCATTGAAAGGCAAATTGTTGTTCAAAAAAATATGTTTTTTTGAGTTATATAAAGCCAGCTGATAAGTTCAAGGAGTTGTCTGCAAATTTGTTTAAGACTTTTTATATTTCTCCATTTTGTCTAATTAAGTAGAAGAGGCTCAGCTGCCTGTACTCTTAACATTAAGATTATGTTTACCTCACTTGTAAATTCATGTTTTAAGAAAAGCGAATAAATTGAATTGAAATTTTAGGACTCTGGTATCTTTGTATCATTTGCTAAATTTCTTCAAAAAGAATGATGATAACGGTTCGATTTGAAAGTTATCATAGGAAACCTCCAATGAATCATATTTCGACCCGACAATATACGATATAGCCCATAAAGTTGTTAGTTTAATGGCAATAAGTGGCTCTTCGCCATTTTTGTACACCCATTGCCCAATCGGAGGAAATATGCCTCTTTCATGGATGTGCAGAAGTCAACTGGACATTAGAGGATATCCAAGACAATTGGCTCCATGTGTTTCTGAGATGCATTGAATTGGCTGTAAGTGAAGGGATGTCATCCCTTGAAGCTGGCCAAACCATCAATACCATCTATACTTCGCGGCCTAGAATTGAAGATGCTGCTCAGATGGTTGCTGCGCGGCACTGAGAAACAGGAACTACTAGTTTTCATGTGGACGATTGGTGCATTGGGAGCTGCAGGGATATGAGCACGGATGTTGAGGATTCGGGCGTACGTGTGTTTGTGGAACTTGGACCAGTCTCTGAGAGCTTGCATTCATTTGGTTGACCAGACGCTTGGGCAGGCGCACAAAACGGAAGGAAATGCTGCAGACAATAGTGAAAATAATAATAATAATAATAGCAGCAGAGCGCGCACACACACACACACACACACATGCACATACTCGAACTCGTATGCATATGATGCGGTAAGATTGGGATGTGGGGTTGTCGGGGGGTGGGGAGGTCCTGGGCGCCTTGTAGGCAGTTAATCGTTGCCCACTCGCTTGCAACTCTTCTGCTTGTTTGTTTGCATGTGCATGTGGGAGGGGAAGTCTAGGGGGATGGGAAGAAGGGGGCGATATCGTGTGTGTGTGTGTGTGCGTGTGTGTGTGTGGACTGAATTTCGCTGCGAGCATAAAAGTAAATTTTTAAAATTGCAAAAAAGCATTCAAATATTAAAAACTGCATGCTGAAATTTTAATGTGTGCCCAGTAGAGCAAATAAAATTTAAATTAAATTAAATTAAGTTTGCGAAAAGTTCTCGAGTGTGAGTGCATGAAGCAGGATCTAAATGGACTAAAAGAAATTGCCAGATGAAAAACTTAAATGTAAATGAAAATAACATTTTTGACGAGCTCAACGAGTCCAAACCAGACCCAACCAGACCCAACCAGTCCTAACCAGACCAGATGCAAAGGATGCTGAGTATGCCTTCGGGTTAGGTGCCAGCTTAAGAGTCTTAAGTTTTTTAATAAGCTACACAATTGCAATTGCATTTGGGCCATGAGCTGCATGCCATGTACATATCCCTGTGCGAGTATGTGCTGGATTGCCGCATTGCCGGCTCGTTGTCATGGGAAGCACGGCAGGTGAAGTAGACGCACTCGGCTGTGGTTGGGGCTGTGCCAGTGGAAATTGTGTGATTTAAGTTCTGGAGACTCTCGAGCTTCAACTACTTTCCACCCAACTCCTTGAAACGGATACTCGTGCTTCTTTGAACGCCTAATTAATTGTTTTTCAGTAGTAGCAGCTAGAATAGAAATTCGAAACTTGCAACTTTCTGCTTAAATTATTTATCTTCAATATATGGAAATGGATTTACCAACATTAATTAACATCGTCTGATATGAACCTGATATGAAAACCCACTCTCATTATACTCGTATTCATGATTTGGCCACAGAGTATATTTTGGACTGAAAGGGAAGAATGCCTTTTTCTAAAAAACATAAAAACGCTGAAGGGCAAGTGAAAAAAGGTTGCATTCTTTGAAACTTTATCAATGAACCATAAGTCCAGAAACTGAGCTCTCATTTGGAGATTCGCTAACACGATGGTGTGTCATCCGTAAACTGGAGCTTGAGAGCCACACTTAATCATAATCATAATCAGGTGCAGATAAGATTCCTAATTTGTTTGTACTTGTATTATCTCAAAAAACTATTCGGACGCAGTCGGTTAAGAGTAATGGCTTAAGCATATGGGCTGAATGTGGAATGAGAACGACTATAGTACAGCGTTTCTTCGTGCCGATATCCTGATGTTCCCATATCTCTCTGGTAATTTGCTGCAGCTGCTAGCTGGCCATGTCCATCTCACATTCATCGTAGTGTGGAAATGTTTGTGCTGTGAATGGCTTTCATAGGCGAGAAGGACTGCCAGCTAATTGGCAGGCACTCCAGCAGCAACAATCAAAGGCGAATCTATTACATGGCAACGATTAATACATACAAGTAGAAGTGTCTGCCACCACCCACCCACCAGTACTGCTCCGATGTCGTTCGCCAGTGACCAGTGCTGGTTGCGAAGTGTGTAGGGAGGGAGGGAGGTGTCGGCAGTGTGTGCGTAAAAAATTATAGAATATTTACCACAAACTAAAATGTTATACTTCCGTTTCATTAAACCGTAAACCGTGCGGCAGCAAACAGACACGGACAAGCCACAGTAGCAAATAAATAGCAGAACAACAAGCACAGGCCACCACCTTCACGCCTGCCCGCCCCAGCTCCAACCCATCACGACTACGTCCTTTTCCAGCCAGCCAGCCTGCTAGCCTGCCTGCCTGCCTGCCCATCCCCTCGGACAGTCTGCTGGCTTGTCTGTTTACTTGCTTGCTAAAACAAAGCGTCGGGCGGGCATATTTCTTGCACACACCCACACATACACTCGCACACACATATGGCAAAGGCAACTTAATCAGATCAATTACACATGTTTTCACTGCATGGATTCCAGGCCATGCCCAGCCCAGCCCAGTCCAGCCCAGTCCAGTCCGAACGTTCTCAACAGCAAAAGAGCCAAAGCAGGGCAGCTGCTGGAAAACTTTGGCGCCGTCCTCGACCCCAGCCCCTCCACACTTCAGCAGCACCTTCGCCAGCGACCCCCAGTGGATTCATAGACTCAAGTGCCGGTCTAGTTCACAAGTATGTTTCATAATTGAGTTACACAATCCCTTCACGCCCGCTTCCTGGTTCCAACAGTTCTCGAAAAATCAAATTCAAATCAATGCAGGGAAATCCCTTTCTTCTGATATCGTCCGGGAGAACAATACATTGGAAATCGTTTTTGCAGTGCTATTCTATGACTATATTCGTGATATCTACTCATCTTAAACTTTAAACACAATTTAAACACAATTAGCC